TGGTCGTGGGATAGAGCCTGGGATCAGGCTCTTGCACTGGGTGTGGAGCCTGCTTGGGATTCTCTCCCTCTCTTTCTCTGTGCTCCTCACCTACTTGGGCTTTCTCTCTCTCTCTCTCTCTCTCAAAATAAAGAAATAAACTTAAAAAAGAAGAAATTGATCTATTAAAAAATAAATATCAAGCATACAAATAGCATATGGAGAATAATGTTAGAAAAAAACACTCTTGTTAACATCACTCAGCTTAAGAAATATAATATTATGGGGGCACCTGGATGGCTCAGTCAGTGGAGTATTTGACTGTTGATCTCAGGGTTTGAGTTCGAGCCCCATATTGGATGTAGAGATTACTTAAAAATAAAATCTAATGAAAAAAAGAAATTTAACATTATGGATACAGTTGAAACCTCATGTGTATCTTTCCTCATGACATTTTCTTCTTTATAACTTCACCTGCTTCCCAGAAGTAACTAACTACCAGTACTATTCCAAATTTCTTATGTTATCATTCCTATGCATATCTTTAGGCTTTTACCATGTATGTAGGTATTCCTAAACAATATGGTGTGGTTTAATATGTCTTTAAACTTTATACAACTGTTACTATCTATCTATCTATCTATCTATCTATCTATCATCTATAGATAGATTTTTTGTGTTTTTAATTTTTTTTCTTTTTGAAAGAGAGGGAGAGAGAGACAGAGCACGAGTGGGGGAGGGGCAGAGAGCGAGGGAGACACAGAACCTAAAGCAGCTCCAGACTCTGGGCTGTCACTACAGAGCCCAACGCAGAGCTTGAACTCGTAAACCATGAGATTGTGACCTGAGCTGAAGTCGAATGCTCAATGGACTGAGCCACCCAAGCATCCCATAACTGTTACTATACTGTATACATCTTCCAGTGACTTAATTTTTGTTCAGCATTATGCTTGTGAGCTTTTTCCATGTTGCTATATTATCTCTAGTCCATTCATTTTTACTGTAGTATTGTATTCCATTGGATGAATATGCCAATATATAATCACACATAGTCTTATTTATAGACATTTAGGATGTTTCCTATTTGCCATTACAAGTAGGCCTACAATGAATATTTTCATGCATAAACTGAGAAAAATACAAGAAACTTCCTGGTACATATATTCTTTGGTCACAGGTATGTGTATACTCAGTGTTACTAGGTATTGCCAAGTTGCTCTCCATAGAATTATGCAGAATTCAGTTCATACCCACTGTGTAGGACAGTTCCAGTGGCTCTGGATTAACTCTTGATATTAGTGTACATCATCCTCGCCAAACTAATGGTTGTGAAATGATATCTCATTATGATTTTAATTTATGTTTGCCCATTTGCTAATTATATGCTTTTTGGCCATTTGGGTGTCTTATTCTGTGAATTGCCTCTCTTTGCATATTAGTTTTCATTTATTTTTTCTATTAACTTATCTTTTTCTCATTGCTTTTATGAAGTTCTTTATTAGTTCCCAATACTATAATAGTAATCTTTCCTCCATTATTGCTTTATAAATGTCTTTCTGAAGACGGGGGCTTTTCTCTTTATGGAGGTTTCTTTGCAGAGAAGTTATAATATAGTCAAATTTATCTACATTTTAAAAACATATTTATTTTTAAATTGAAGTATAATTAACATACAGTAGTATATCAGTTTCAGTTGTACAGTATAATGATTCAACAGTTCTATGCATTTCTCAGTGCTCATCAATTCAAGGGCGCTCTTAATCCCCTTTATCCAGTTCACCCATTCTGCTACCCACCTCCCTTTTGACAACCAGCAGTTTGTTTTCTGTTTTTTTGTTTTGTTTGGTTTTATAATTTTTTTAATGTTTTTTTTTTTATTAATTTCTAGGAGAGAGAGAGAGAGAGACAGCGTGAGCAGGGGAGGGTCAGAGAGAGAGGGAGTCACAGACTGAAACAGGCTCTAGGCTCTGAGCGGGCAGTCAGCACAGAGCCCGACGCGGGGCTCGAACCCACGAACCGCGAGATCATGACCTAAGCGAAAGTCGGACGCTTAACCGACTAAGCCACCCAGGCGCCCCATGTTTTCTGTTTTTAAGAGTCTGTTTTTTGTCTCTTTCTTCTCTACTTGTTCACTTGTTTTGTTTCTTAAATTCCACACATGGGTGAAATTATATGGTATTGTCTTTCTTTATCTGATTTATTTCACTTAGCATTATACCCTCTGGGTCCATCCATGTTGTTGCAAATGTCAAGATTTCATGATTTTTTATGGCCGAGTAATATTCCATTGCATCCATATACACTACATTGTCTTTATCTATCCTTCTATGGATGGATACTTGGATTGCTTCCGTATCTTGACTCTGGGAAATAATGCTGCAATAAACAAAGGGTGCATATATCATTTCAAATTAGTGTTTGTATTTTCTTTGTGTAAATAGTAGTAGAATTACTGGATTACATGGTAATTCTATTTTTAATTTTTTGAGAAACCTCCATACTTTTTTCCACAGTGGCTGCACCAATTTGTATTCCCACCAACAGTGCACAAGGGCTCCTTTTTCTCCATATGCTTTCCAACACTTGTTATTTCTTATGTTCTTGATTTTAGCCATTATGACAGGTATAAACTGATATCTCATTGTGAGGTTATAAATTAAAACGTAATCAAATTTATTTACTTTTTATTATGTTTTGCACTTTTTGGATGTTAAGAAGTCTTTCCCGACACTCAAACTGTAGAGATATTTTCCTATATTTTCTTCTAAGAGTTTTAAAGTTGTTGTTGTTTTTTTTTTTTTTTACCTTTAGAACTTTAATAAACTTGGAATAGATTTTTGAGTATTATGTGAGGTAAAGATCCATTTTTCCCCATTGGCCTATTGTCGTAGAATCATTTATTGAAAAGTCTATCATTTTCCTCACAGAGAATCTTCAGTGTCACCTCTGTCATGATATTTTATTATCACATGAGTTTCTTTTGGATCATAATACTATATAATTATTCTCTTTATCTATTGCTACACCAATATCATCCTGAATTAGTTGCTATAGCATTATAAGAAGTTGATTTCTGGTATGGTAGGTTAATTGCATTGATGGGAATAATCAATAGCCTCTTTGTATTTCTATCTTTAGGAATATAACTTTGCAGGTCACTGCATCAAGAAGTTGGCTATTTCTCTACCCTTTGAATCAGGACAGGACTTACTACTTGTTTGGCCTACAAAATGTGGGGGAAGTGACAGTGTGCCAAATTTAGGCCTTCAAAGACCTTGTATGCTTCCATTCCTCTTTTGGAATTTTGCCTTCACTCTGGGAATAAGCTCAGGCTACTGTGCTGAAGGAAGAGAGGACACATGGTACAGGGTAGAGTCAATCCACGCTAAGACCAGCTTAGACCCGTCAGTGCCCAGCCAATTCACCAGCTGCCCTTATGAGTGATCCTAAGCCAAATAGCCATGCTTGGCTTAGATCACCAGAACTGCACAACTGACCCATGAACTTGTGAGCCAACATGAATGCTTATTTGTTCTGCCCCTGAGGTTTTGTAGTTGTGTGTAACATAATTATGCAAAACGATAACTGACACACAGGGCAAGTCTCCTATCTTGTTCTGTTATTTAAAACCATCTAAGTTGATCATAGCCTTATGTGCTTCTCCATATAGATTTTAAAATTGGTGTCAAATTCCATGACTTGGTTTAACCTTTTTATATATAACTTAGGACACTCTAGGACAGTATCCTTTGCAACATAGAGCCCCTTCCAAACTTTCCCCTTATGTTATCCCCAAAGGTGAAGCTAACTAAATCATTTGTTACTTCATTTCTGATAAATTGTTAAGTTATTTGTATTTGCTTTATCATATTATAATACCATTTTCATAAGATGGTGGTTCTGTTGCCAGGGCAACCAAATGTGATATATGAGCTTGTGGCTTTAATTGAAACCTTAACTCTCTTTGGCTCCATTCCATATGCTTTCTTGGCTCCCTTCATTCCTGAGGTTGAAAGAATGGAAGATATTGCACAATTCTGCTAGCATCTTACATTTTATATCTGTTTCCACCTCCACTTATTAGCATATATATCATTCTCTAACTTTACTATCTTAACTAATCTCATTTCTACTATTTGTCCTTGATAGCTCCTCCCATTCAGTGTAATAATGCACAATACCTATTCAATATATATTTAATGATCACTTACCATGAGCCTGGCACTAGGGTTATAACACTGAATGAAACAGGTATGGTCTGGACCCTTCCAGCGTTTATCAGGTTAGAGAGACAGGAGTATAATAGATTAGCATGTAAATATTTAACCAGAATGGTAAGTGCCAAGAAAAATAAGTACAGGCTGACAGGTGGGGACCTGATCTAATTTGGATCAGTGACAATTTTTGTAAGGAATAAAATTTAAGCTGGGACTGAGAAATAACTTGGAGTTATCCAGCATTGGGAAGGGCCTGGAAGGCATGGGTTACAATGAATGATGGAGCCTTGAGGTCTCAGGGAAGATGAGAGGTTTGGAAGGAAGCCAATGTAGCCGAAGACTAGTATGTAAGGGTGAGAGGAGCATGAGATGAATCTGGAGAAATGGATGGAGGCAAAAATCACAGGGGGTCTCACAGTGTACTCGCACCATCTAGTCAGAACTTGAGTTATAAGGGTCTGAAATGGTGACGTCATCCAAGAGAAGTTTATTTCACCCCGTAGCCCATAGCCATATACAGAACAAGCAGGTGTAGAGATGCACACGGTGTTCCTTGTCCTCCATGTATGTATCCCAGGCCACTTCAGGGCTGGATCCATGCTGCTTCCCTGCTGAAATGGACACAGGACTTCCCCCCACACCCCAACCCCTCTTGGGTTTCTGTGGTGCTATACCCACACCAGTGAGACCAGAAATCAAGCCTAGAGGCTTGGCTTAGCATGATTTACTTCAGGGCATCGTTCTGCATACAATAGCTATTCCATGATCATCCTCCCTGGAACTTTATTTTATAGTTTATTTATTTTAAATATGGGACGCTTCACGAATTTCCATGTTGTCCTTGCTCAGGGGCCATGCTGTCTTCTCTACCATTCCAATTTTAGTATATGTGCTGCCGAAGTGAGCATGTCTATGGAACTTTAGATACTCTAATACACTTGACCCAGTGCGCATCCCACAGATGGCCTGACTTGAGAGCCTGTGGCTGGTACAGCAGTAGACGACACATCCTTACATGGAGATTACGTAATCTAGGGTCAGGTCTGAGAAAGACTTAGTTTTACTCTTAGTAATTTGCTTCTTGTCACTTCTTGGTATCCTCATGTTTATTTTTTTTCTGTCAGGGACCCCATTATTTCTCGAATTTCAGATCCTCTAACAACACACATACTCTCAGGAAATGGAGTATGTGAGAGAATGCATTTAAATACTGACCACAGGGTATAGCCTAGGCAGGGGTTTCTTGGCCCCAGTTTTCAGAGTTGGGTTCTAGGCCCAGAGTCCATGACTCCCCCACTCCCATGATATTCAGATGTCTGTGTGGATGTGTGGTTAGTGGACATTGGTAGTTTTCACCTGCTCAGTATCATGTCCTTCTTCAGTAACATCAAGACCCTAATTACCCTTTTAGGACCTTGATCCCCTCTGAATACTGTTCTATTTTGGTAGCACTACCAGTCAATAAACTTCACTTCCATTAGAATGGCAGGGAGGCAGAGGGGAGGATCTAATTCAGGCCAAACAGAATTCCTCCTGGGAAATCTTTCTTGCAACAAGGGGAGAAAAATGTCTTGATCTGATTCATGTTACTGGCAGCGCAGAAGAAATCGTGCCCACTAGGAATTAGTTCCTGCTTTCTAGATCCCTAAGTTTTCTAGACCTATTTCCTCTCCCATTCCATTTCCTTCCATTAAATCCCTGCTGCTTAAATTAGCTAGGGCAGGCTTCTATTGTTTGCAATGGGAGGAAAGTCTAACTCACATGGTGTGCATGTATACATCTTTCTGAGCTGCAAAACTGAGGTTCTCAAAGGTGTCCATCATCCTCCCCCCCAAAAAAGCTTAGAATCACTAGATTAAATGGTCGTTTCTTTCCCTGAGAATCCGAGGAAGAATTGGAGACGCACATCCTTGCAAATTAACAGATGGTTGAGTCACTGACTGAACTAAAACTCAAAATTGTGGATTTTCTGGCATCCTCTTGCAAAGTGGAATTATTTTTGGCAGAATGGATCTTTCTTGGGAACTCATGAAATAATTGTCGATCGCCCCAAATCAGAAGCCCAGCCCTGCCTTTACCTACAGTTGAGCTTTATTTTCTGATTAAAGCCATCGTTCCTTTCCTACCGCCCTGGCCCGTACCTGTATATTTACAACAGTTTTCCTTCTGGTCAAAGAGCTCTTTCTATGCGTGGAAGAAAGAGTTCAGCGCAGCTGTAGGAGTCAGGGTGGAACAGGTTGAGTTTGTCTCTAGCCAGCCTTCCTCCAAGGCCCAGGTAGGATGCTGCAAAGTGCTGAGGGAGGGCTGGGGCTCCAGAAACTCTGTAAAGCTTAAGGAAAATTTTCTTTCTTTATCTCTTGAAAATTATTAGAAGCCAAGTCCACAGTTAAGTGCAAATTGGATGGTTCCTCATCACTGCTCTAAAATGAAAGGCTTTCAAGAAGAAGAAAAAAGAAGGAACAGACAAGTGGAACCCCTCTGGGGTCCAAACCACTAACATCAGAGACAGTTCCAAGATAGATCCAATTTTTATCCATATCCCATCCCAACTCTCCTCTTGGCCACCAGCAAAATATTTTCGCTTTATGCAAGGAACGTCATTTTAAATTTGGGGTGGCTGATGTAGCTATTGCTATTTAATCACATGCACATGTACACACGCACACATACACTCGCCCATCTGAGCTCCCCTTCTGTTTTTTGCTTTCATTTGAAATGGGGTGGGTTCAGGGGCGCCTGGATAGCTCAGCTGGTTAAGCACCAACTTCGGCTCAGGTCGTGATCTCACGGTTCGTGGGTTCGAGCCCCGCGTTGGGCTCTGTGCTGACAGCTAGCTCAGAACCTGGAGCCTGCTTCGGATTCTTTGTCTCCCTCTCTCTCTGACCCTCCCCTGCTCACACTGCCTCTCTCTCTCTCTCTCAGAAATAAATAAAATATTAAAAAAAAATGAGTTCAGGTGAGTTCAGGAAACAGAGTTTGTTTGTCCTTGTCTGCTTCCCACAGGAACTGAACTGCCAGGGACAGTGGTGCCCTCTTCCTCTGGGTTTGGTTCCTTGAAGAAGATGCTGCTGGATGTCACAGCAGGCACGGGGGGAATTCAGCTGGCATCACTGAAAGTTGTGCTTGAATAAGGACGAAGACCCAGGGAAAGCAAATGCTTACTTCAACAGAACTCACGCTGGCCTCCAGCGGAGTGGGGCCAGAGCAGAGTGGCGGTCAAACACCATCTTTTTACATGAATGGTACACTAGGGCCACTGACTTTCGGAATGAGAGCATGATGGCAGAAGTTATTTACGGATTCTTACCATCTGTCTTGACTCACAAGGTTGAATATCAATTGTTCTCAAAATCTATTTCACGGGGTGCTTAGGGGGCTCAGTCGGTTGAGCATCCAACTCTTGATTGGGCTCAGGTCATGATCTCACGGTTCATGGGGTCGAGCCCCACGACAGGCTCCACACGTAGCGTGGTATCCTACTTGGGATTCCCTCTCTCGCCTTCTCTCTCTGCCCCTCTCCCGCTCATGCTTTCTCTCTCTCTCTCTCTCTCTCAAAATAAATCAATAAACTTTAGAAATCTATTTCACAGTTCTTCAGAGTATTTTCCTTCATATAAGCTTGTCAGTCAAAAATCTACTACCAAGCCAGTACCCAGGCACTGTATTGGATGCTATTAGATGATAATGATGGAAAAATACCCATTCTGGTTTGATGAGCAAAAACTTAGCAAAAAAGCAATTTTATTTCAAAACTTAGGTTGATAATAATAAAATCAGTTATCATTTGCTTGGCACCTTCTCGGAACTATGCAAGGTGTTCCACATATGTGAGAGCTGATCCTCCCGGCAACCGCAGGATGCCAGCTAGGTGTTACAGAGAAAAGTTTGTGCTTCTGTAAAACACTCCGCATCATGTAGTGCACACTCTTTCACGTGATTAGATTCTGATTCTGATTCTGGGGAGGGGGTCTCTGAGCCTTTTATTGGGTTTACGTGATTTTATTACTCTGTACCTATAGATAACTGATAGCAATGGAAGTGATTCTTGTCTGCAGATACACAAATACACACTTGCTAGATGGAATTACGTTGGCTTTTCCACCCCTTCGACCCTCATTGGAAAAAGCCAATTTCTATTTGTAAACTCATTCCAACACTTCTTTATACCATATAAAGTTATGCTTCTTTTATTTCTCCTTTGAACCAATTTAATGTCTATCTGTTAAATAAAATCTTTAGCATGTGCTTATTTTATACCTGTATGAGAATAATGATTTTATCTTTACTTAGGAAATATCCTTTTGTGGAGTGCCCGAGTGTCTCAGTCAGGTAAGTATCTGACTTTGGCTCAGGTCATGATCTCATAATTTGTGGGTTCGAGCCCTGTGTCAGGCTCTGTGCTGACAGCTCAGAGCCTGGAGCCTGTTTTGGATTCTGTGTCTCCCTCTCTTTCTGCCCCTCCCCTACTCATGCTCTGTCTCAGTCTCGCAAAGTAAATAAATGTTAACAAAAAATAAAGAAAAAAGAAATATTCTTTCACATTGTTGTTAACACCACTCTACAGAGGCTCAGAATCAAATGACTTTCTCAGGACCACTAATGATTAAGTGACCCGCCTACGGGTTAAACCCCTGCACTTTCGGACTCCCCAGCTTACGTGTTTTCTTATAATTTTGCACCTGCTCTGTCCCTGGCCTGTGTTAGGCAAGTGCGAATATCCTTTTAAGTCATTCAGCTATAAATAGGCTCTTCTATCCTGGTGCTATGGGGTTATAAAATATTCATGATATAATCTCTGCTTGCCAGATAATAATCAAGGTACACACACAAAAATGGAAGGAAAATGCACGATAGAGGAAGAAAGGAAAAGGGAAGGAGTGGTAAGAGTCCAAGGGATTAATCTTGAAAGCTTTTAGGAAGCGATAGTCTTCCAGTCTGCATTGTGTAAATGGAAGGGGCATGAAGAAGTAGGTTGTAAGTTAAAGCCAACAACCTGTAAACCTGGGTCCTGAAGCCTCCTGTCCAGCCACCTGAAGGAACAAACCAGGAAAGAGGATTGTACCATTGCTTGCATATTTGTTATCTAACACTAGGGGGGAACGTGGCAAATGAAACAAATTCTAATCTCCTAATTATTTGCACATATAACTGTTTTGCATAAAGTTTCTATTGGCCCAAATTTGATTGAGTTGTGCTTAAAACTGTTGTCATGGGCTCTTCCATGTTTGTAGGCTAAACTCTAAACTCCTTCAAAAAATTTTTATTTACTTTTGAGAGAGAGAGAGACAGAGAGAGACAGAGAGACAGAGCATGAGCGGGAGAGGGGCAGAGATAAGAGACACAGAATCTGAAGCAAGCTCTAGGCTCCGAGCTGTCAGTGCCCAATGCGAGGCTTGAACTCACAAAACATGTGATTATGAGCTGAGCCAAAGTCAGATGCTTAACCAACTGAGCCATCCAGGCACCCATAAACTCCTTCATATCAGCTTTAATGTGGTCTCTACCCATTTTTCATCTATTCTGATATCCAAAAGCATTGCTCTCTACTGGCCTCCCTCGCTCCTCTCTCTGCCTGTCTCTGTCTCTGTCTCTTTCTCACACATACACAGCCCACAATCTAGGTTTCTGACTCCCTAAAGTACTTGAAGTCCTTCACCCCACAGTGCTCTTTTACAGCTCACTTTTTACTAAAGCTTTGCCCCAGCACCCCCTTTACACCCTTCCCCACCTTGGCAAGCCTCTACACATCACTCAACACTCAATTTATTTTTTTTTTTTGTCCTTAGCATAGCCTACGTTTTTTTCTTTTTACAAATAGTTTATTGTCAAGTTGGTTTCCATATAACACCCAGTGCTCATCCCCACAAGTGCCCTCCTCCATGCCCATCTTCTTCCTCCCACACACACC